AAGAAGTGTTTATGTGGGAGTTGTAAGGAGATTTTGAGTTTGGATACATGCTGTTAGCCCAGTTTCAGTGGGTTAACCTCCCTCGCTCAGACTGATATCTACCACTGTGAGCTTATAGAAGATGGTAATTGGATGTACTGTACATGCAATGCACGCATTAACTTACTAGAGTCGTGTGCCCCATAGTGGTAAACAGTGTTGCTCAAATTTTCTAACACTAAAATGGGTCTGTGACGTGTTTCTGAATGTCTCCTAACAATGCAATAATTTTTGGATTACTCAATGAGGACTTTCTCACAACGCCATTTTTTTTTCATAGAACCTTATCAATATATATTTACACTAAATTTCATGACTAATTTCGTGACTATCCCCAAGTTTTAAAGATATTTCAGTCCTGAAGAAAGGTGGTCCAACTGACAGATCCCCAGACATTACAAAGTGTAGGTAAAACAGCAGCGGCCCCAATATCCTTCCTTGTGGAGCACCAGATTTGATAGGTTGACTCCTCGATGAGTTCCCCACTCTTGTAGGTGAGAAATATGGGAAGTCAACTTCTCAATTGGCGTGCGTGTGTGAGAAGGAACCTTTATGCCCTAAATCGACAGTACTGCTCCGGGGTTAAGCACTGTCCAGCAACAAGCTCTTCTAATGCCATCCATCAAGAAAAATCTCAGAGATGAGCATATGACCTACATATTTTTGCAGGCCATGTAATGAAAGTTGCGCATCTAGAGGTACATGCAACTGCTGACAGTTTTCAACACTGCTATGTCACTCACATCCATTGGCATTTTCTGTGAGTATTAGGGCTGTCAAAATTGCTCAAAAATGACGTTCGAATATTCCTTCTAAAAATAACTCATAGGTTCGAACCATTTGAATATTTTTTTTTCCGCATTATGTCCACAAGAGGGCAAACCAATACAAGGAAACATACTTGTATATGTATTAATACAAGGAAACGTAACTACTTGTAGGTATTTTTATTTCCACATAAACGTCTTTGAAAACATTGACATACATGCACATTAAAACACATAAAACAATTATCTATAGCATTACGTTATAAACGACCGCGGACCTCTTGCTCGCCCCCCACCCCCCACCCCCCCTCTCTGACCCGTGGCCACACCGCCCGCGGAAGCGCTGCGAATAGCCTCGAAGCACTGGACCGTGACCGGCTCGCGCCCTGCAGCGATCGTTTCAGCGTCTGGTCTATTTTCTGCGCGAGCCGCGAGCGAATGTGTCAAGCCGGGTGATGGAGACAACAGCTGGGAGCAGAACCGCTTGTCGACCAGCATGGAGAAATGCGCGTCTGACGCCAACGCCCACTCGCAAAGAGGACAGCTGCTGTGGTGTTTTTTTTCTCCCTCCACAATCGAATATCAATTTTCACATTCGAAGGTCCATTTTTTTTTTCAAATTTGAATTTAAATTTGAATTTAGAATATTCGTTGACAGCCCTAGTGAGTATGTGTTATAGAAAAGATCTTCACTCAGTCTTCCAGTCTGCAGCAGTTACCACATCTACTTTTTCTCCATTTTCAATGAAATTGTACACAATTACATTCCTTTTTAATCTAGAATGGCACAAACTTTTTTTGTCCCTATGTCCTTGTTTAAGTTCTTAGTTTACCACGCTGCCAGCATATAAGCGTCTGCAGCCTGATTCATACAGACAGCACATTTGGAAACGCACATGGTGTATAGTCGCGCATTTATACAGATTCAGATAACAGCATGCTGACTGAGACTTCCCGGCATGTGCGAACAGGACAGATGCACAGAATGGAAAATAATAAAACCCTTCTGACATTAGCATTCATTTATTCAGATGCAAATTAACTTGCACAAAATCAACAGTTGTTCTCTCTGTGGATCATACGACCATGTAACAAATCCAGTAAAAGTGTAAAGAGATGCTCTACTTTTTTTTCCTGTAGCTGACAAAGTCAAGGACAGATTGAATCAGAAGAAAACTGGCATTCACGTCTAGCTCAGGGGAGCACTGTGTTACCCTGATAAATTGGAATTTCGTTTCAGTTTTTTGCACAAGAAAGTCAGCTGACACTCTGAGCAGTTTCGGTTTTGTCAGTTGTAAGACTTTATAATATAGGTCAGTGGTAGCTGCTTTTATGTGTGTCAGATTTGAAGGTAATTGGATGTAATCACAGTTATTACTGAACTGACACAGAAATCTTAAGTCACGAGAAAAGTGTTTGAAGACACGACAGTTTTGTTCGCATCCTCCTGCCATTGACATACTATGAACTGAAAGGAAAGTAAAACTGAAATGTACTTGAATGTACAGAAATAGATGTGTAAGAGGGAACATCCCAAGAGTGATGAATAACTCCAAGGCTATTCCACTGAAGTAACCTAAGGAAAAATACACAGTAGTGGTTTTAAAGGGACATTTATCATCCAAGAGGGTAAAATGTAAAACCTGGCCCAATATGAAATCCCTGGTTGCAAAAACTACAAATAATTGCAATCAGATATGTTATCAGAAACAAAAAGAAAGGACTTCTTTCTTGGCCTGAAGTCAACAAATTCTGACAAAAAAGTAATGACCTTCCATTTTAAATCGCTGAACAGAAAGCTCCTGGTGTGTGCAATTCCATTTTCTGTGGCTCCCGTGATCTTAAAAAAGGGCACAGGCAGTTAAAAGATTTGAAAGAAGTAATTTTTAGAAACCACAGGTAGTGTCAAACCTTTCCTCACTTCATATGTCTTGACCTGGTTCATGGCTCTCCAGGGAGAAAAGCAAAATATTGGCACTACATTGCAACTGTGAACATAAAGTCAGTGTGGTTTTGTGGTGGGCTAAAGTTGTAGGTTAACTAAGTCAGAAGAATTGCCTCCAAGCTCTTAAATGGGTCAGTACACTCAAATTACAAAAGAATATTTTTCTTTTCTCAATTATTTTAATATTCAACAGCTAGTTTGGCATAAAAGCAAGTTAGTCCCCATAGACCCCCATGTTGAAATGCCCAGCTTTACAGCAGAAAAAAAACATGTTTACAGCCTGCTGCAAAAAACTGTTATGGTCTCTATAGCTAATTTCCCTGTTCATGACAGCTGTACGGAGGGTTAATTATTTTCTAACTCATCCATTTAAATTTTATTAAGGCTTAAAGTTGTGCATAAGTAAGGGCATGGCTGCTTTTAGGGACAGGTGGGTGCTGTCTGTTGACAAGTCACTACCACAGCAACATTGTTGGTTAGGTAGGCTAACCAGGCCCCCAGGAAAGCCGTTCAACCTTGCTTCAGATGTTTTCCAGTAGTAATGTAGTGAAATAATCCACTGCTGCCCAAAAAGCATTTTCTCCCCATGGGTTACAATTGTAAAAGACACATCTATAAAACTGTTGACAAGACAAACTCTTTGCGCTAGGCAACCAACTCCATTGGAATGAATAGGCGCCATCTTGCCATCCAGTGTTTAGGTATCAGTATACATCTATGAGCCTAACCCAACCATGGTGTAACCCCAGATTCACGTAATGTAGGTGTAGCCATAGCTGTCGCTTTATCAGTGATTTCAGCTCATGAAAGTTAATTGAAACATTTTGGTTTTTCCTTAAAAAGTCCTGTTAAGTGTTTGGTTTCACTGAAAGACCCTCCTAGGAGTCGCATATTCAATTCTCCCGGTAAGTACATTTTGTTTCAATGGATTTAAGACCATTTTTGCCAGTAGAAAATAGCTTTAGCATTAGTATTATCAGAGTTATAGCTGTATATGTTCTGTGCTAACCCAATTAGCAGCTAGCTAAGGTTATCTCCGCACTCTGTCGTCCAAATATGGTGACTTATGGCTCCAAAAAAAGCAGCTTTAAAATGGGAGGCAAATCACCAATGGGTGACGTTACTGTGGCTACGTCCATTATATTATATGGTCTATGTTTAAGTTATATTTTTCCAACTGACCTTAAAAACTCAGGAAAAGCACTGAATTTCTCTATCCTGGTGGCTCCATTACTCCATTACTGCTGCTGAAGTAGGTCAGGGTGGAGAGTTTTATAAGCCTGATCAGCAAGTCAATTGGAGCGGCCAGACAGTGACAGTCCACCTGATTGTCATCATGCTTCTTTCTTTACCTTAATGGCAACGGTGGCAATGGTAAGCTTCCATAGGTGGTGCGAAGGGAAATTAAGCCATCCCTGTGGAATGTTAAGGTTACGCATAATGCAGGCCAGACCAGACATAATGTATAATTTGAACGTGGTATATATGTGTCTACACTGATTTGAGGAAATAGCTTTTTGTGAGTCACACCCCTGTTCCACATGAGAGGGCTTTTAGTCCAGCACTCACAGGTTTTTTAGTTAATTATGGCCACTGCATAACCATCATGTGTTCTTTTGAGTGAAGTGTGCCGACGTGATTTGTAATGTTTTTTTCTGTCTTGGTAGAATAAATATGTCACTGTGCCACTTTCTGATCAGGTATATAGGTCAGTGTGCTGTGTGTGTATATTTTTCTCCACGAGTATAAACTACAGGGTAAAAACTCAGTTTAAAAATTGCTCCTTTTGAATGGTCTTTATATTCTTAGAAATGGTCTTAATTTATTATCTAATTTCTTAAAACATGTAGATTTAACTATTTTAAATTTAATTTCACTTTATCATCCACTATACCATCAAACAATCATTTCTTTGAAAAAAAAAAGTACAGTTTCACCCCTCTTTGGTCTTCTCTGGCATTCACATTATCTGCTTTAATCCAGCTATTGTATATTTTGAAAGTGTGGAAATAATGTTTTAGCTTGACACAATGATAATGATTTTTATTTCAATCTCAAGTTATGCTCTATTGCTCTTTGTATGTACATCTCTACCTCTCTTGTTTCCTGTCATAAAACAGTTCACATCTGTTTGAGACAGATTGTCATAAAAAGGGTACTTCACTGAGAAGTGGCTCACATATCCAGTACACATTAAATTGTACACACAATATATGAGCTCTTTTTTCTCTCTCCCTCTCTGTCTTCAGTGGTGCCAGTCCTGTTGGTCTCGTCCTGACTGCCATAGTGGCCGTGGCTTACAAGGTGGCGATAAGATTCGAGGGGTGAGTCTCTCTTTGTCTCAGACTGTTTTCATATTTGTCAAAAAATGCATTTGGTTAAAGTCCAGATGTATCTAGAGAGTATCTAGCGTTAGTATTGCGACATATTTCCGAGTAAAACAGGATAGGCAGGAAATTAATTCGATTGTTGAAAAGTGGGTGTGTCGTAACAGTGACAGTGTAACACCAACAGGATAGTAGTATCCATCAAGGAGAGAAAGACGAAGCCCATCATATGCTGCATATAACATTTGTTGCTGAAGTGGTCGATTGTAAAATGCCTTGCTCATAATCTGGAGCTGTCACAGATACCACTTTCCTCAAAGTAAATAAATTGTAGCCAGTGGGCCTGTAACTACGGCATTTTGGGGAACCAAAGACACATTGATGTAGCATGCTTTTCCTAGCAAGCTAACTTGAACTTAGCTCTGTGTGGCTAAAAGTTGAAGATTGATTGACGAGTGGATGTCTTGAAACTAGTTGGTACCAGCTTACATAAGCACACTTCAAAATTTCTTTTACAGGAAGGAAACATGATTGGATTTTGATATAAAACTATGAAAAAATTGAATTTTTGTAGTTTATTTTTGGTATATATTGTTAAACAGGCGCACATAATGTCCTACACAATGAGCTACAAGGATTAAAAATGTATTTTTAATGTGGTCTCGACTTGTGTTGAATCACTTGCGTACAGGCGGGAATGTATCCCAGTATGCATTAAGGATACAGTGAAATTTGACCTTCAGGCCAAAGTCAGACATGGTCATGAATGTATTTACAATCTTGTGAAGTTTTTTGCAGAGTTACCCTGACAATGTGTTAATTTAGATCACTTGGATTTTCAGCACAAGTAGGTCCAAATCATTGATGTGATTAAAACAACAGGGGACCCTAAATCCTTCCCTGTGGAACTTCAGATTTTATAAGTTGACTCCTGTATACTGTAAACGCCTCTCTCTCTCTTAGCTTTACTTACCTATTTCCTCACAAACTAGTGGTACTCATGGGTAGTTTAGGTTCCCTGTAACCAGGACTCAGACCCAGGACCTAAGTTAGGCCAGGTCCAAATGTCACATCAATACAGATTATTCAGTGATAGATCAGATCAATGCTACATCAGCCCCATGTGACTTATGTATGATTGTATTGAAATCGCTGTAGACATTTTTTTTCCTGTCCCTTTGAAGAGAAAGGCTGATTTCAGTGTATTTTCCAGTGCCATTATCACAGGAGCAGACCCTGTAGAGGATATTTCAACTGACTGCTTACTGACATACTTAAACTCAAGATTACATATGAGTATGTATAGAATACCAACATAAATTAAGTGCTTCTTGGATTCATTTAAACATATCTTTTTTTTGGTATCCAATAGATGTGTAGTTGGATGTAGTTAGATATCTGTTCTATTGTGATTACTTATAGTAAGGTTAAAGCTCATCCAGTAATTGTTCTGCTGTGGCTTATAAATAGCACACATTTGGGTCACACAGGTAAATGCAACACATTTTCATCCTTAAGTCATCACATATCTCCGCTTTGTCAGTGATCTTTCACATCTACATATTACGCATTAGTTGTCCTTCTGCGTCTGCTGTTGACATTCCAGGACACCGCTACCAACGCCGGGGTGTTAACAAAAACACATGGTTAGGTTACGGCAAAAAAAAACACTATGGCAACCGATGCCAGGACAAGAATGGGCTGGCAAATTTTTCAGATTTCGGGGGCTCATTAAAATTTTGATTTCGCAAGCAAGGCCACCTCCCAAGGAAAATGACGTATGTTTCAACTCCCACTCCTTTGTTGTGTTTTCATCTCAAATGTCATCTCCTTAGTTCTGCCAAAAAGCAAAAACCTGAGATGGTCAAAAAAGAAGGATTAAAGATAGGGACAGACTCTTTTTCCCCACACATTCAGAGCCGTGTTGGTTGCATCCTCCTCCTCTTGCTTGACCATGGTGATTACGAGATAACACATTTAAAAAAAAAAAACAGTTATGAGCGACCTAGTTCTTTTCATCTGTCCGCACAGACACATGCATGTCGGAATACACACACCCACATACACACAAATACATGAACCTGCTGCTGCACAAGACAATTATAAATGGGACAGCATGGAAGCAGCTGCTTTGACCACTTACAGCACTCATTAAACCTACTGTGTGTGTGTGTGTGTGTGTGTGTGTGTGTGTGCGTGCGCGTGCAGATGTGTGATGCCCTCTCATCTTCTCATCTAAGTGTTTGTTTGCATGTACATGTGTTAACTGTGCAGCTGTCTTTTGCATTACATGTGTGGGGAAGCGGTCACATAGCAGCATAACAGTTATGATTCAAATGTGCACAACAGTGGCACACAGCTGCTATCAAACACATCATTCTTTGTCACAACTTTACTATATCAAGGACCCCATTATAAGAACACAAATTAAATGTTTACCTGGGTAGCAGCAGCAAGACAAATGATGGAGAATGGCACATTGATTAGGTCACAACTGAGTGACCTACATTTATTGTATAAACACACCTTAGCACAGACATACAGTCACCTTACATAAATACACAATTAGATGCCAAATCTGTGTTTACCAGCCCAAATACCCCCCAGCAAATTACATCTGACGAGCCCTCTTTGTTCATTTCCTACCTCGTTGAGCCTCTGAAGGCTATTTTGATTGTTTTGTACACATCATCTCACCCCTATTTCTGCTCAGGAAAAACAAAAATCTGCCTCCTTTGTCTAGCTCCATCTTCAGAATGGCCACATTTGCCCAAAGAGTGAAATATATGGCAAGTGAGTTCAGACAATGCCTCAAAGATGCAGTCATGAAAGCTGCCCATCAATACTGAAATTTATTCCCCTACCATCTATTATTACATCTCTAAAAATAAACCTACATGCTGCAAATGGGGCCATTCTAGCCGTTTGAGTGGTTTAGGCTCAATGTCCTTTCATGACCCTGTGAGGATTGATCATACGCAAATAATTGAACTATATTTGATTAAACGTAGCTTCTGCTCTGTGTCATATCATCACAAAGACATAGTCTGTAAATGAGTCCCTGTTATGAGCCTTATCCTGGCTTCAACAATATTTGGGCTGTGATATGGAATATAAGAAACCCTCTGGCATCAACCAGTTTCGGTGATTTCTATACTGAGATGACAGAGACGGAGCAAACATCGGTATCTGACTATCACTTGTAGATGTCCCGTCCATGGTTTATGATTACACATTTATTTCTATTTAATTTTTTGAGTATCTGTTTCTACATTTTAGCCTACCTTGTGCCTGCTCTAAATTAGTAAATGCATGTATATATGTTAAGAGAAGTACCCTGCATCAAGGCTTTCCTTTGATTTGGTTTCCTATATTTTCCATAGTGTCTTATAGTATTTTTATAATATCTTTTAAGTCTGAAATGTCGTGTGTGGTACAATCAATACATTCTAGTGGGACCACTACGATTTACTTACAGTCAGTATTATGTGCATTTACACTTCTTAAGAGCTACCTCAAAGTTCAGTTCACATCTGTGCTTTAGAGCTCAAGATCAGTCTTGGTCTCCAGACCGGTCTCAAAACCACATTTGAAGGTCAGGTGTGGGACTTGGCTTCATTTTTACACGGTCTTGTCTTGGCCTCAGAATTGTGGAATCTGGATCTTTCAGATCACTTCGAGGCATTACTTTTATTTGCATGTTTCTAAATTTTATCTTAAGTTTGTCATTTGTCAGTGTGGGACTCTGGTCTGGTCTCAGTCATGACCCTGTCTCAGTTTTGGTGGTGTTGATGTCAACGCTGGTTTACACAAATTAAGATTAAATAGTTCACATTCAGAGTTCACAGTTTGAATTTTGAACTAAGTTTACATTCCCAAAAAAAAGAACTAGTTTACTTTATTTCTTCTTGTTTTGAGTTTCAAATTCTTTGCCATTTTGGCATATTGGTTTTTTGGCAGGCACAATTTTGACTCTGCACAGATTTGTTAATAAAACTTCAGTTATTCATATGAACTGGCTTTAGCAGGGCCCGTAGTCCTGACAGGACTGACCTTGACAGTTAGCAAGCTTATTAGCTCTGAAAGCCTTTTTTTGCCTTTTCAATCTAAATTGTTACTGAATAAAGTAATCTACAATTCTTAAAACTAAATGTGAGGGAAGAGAAAATGGTCTAGTTCAGAGAGAACACAAAGACGTTTGGCACCAACAACTATGCCACATCCATAGTCACTTCAATCACCTTTCTTCCCCAATCTGATTCTCAGTTTGTGCTTCAGCAGGTTGTCATAACCATGTCTACATGCCTTAATTGCATTGCATTGAGTTGCTACCACGTGATTGGCTGATTAGCAATTTGCGTTAACAAGTAGTTGAACAGGTGTACCTAATCAAGTGGCTGGTGAGTGTATTCTGTTATCCTGTAGACTTTGTTTTGGCGTTTTTGTTTGCGTTCTTCCTTGTTTCGTGTTCTTCTTTCACGTTTAATCTGTTTCCTGTGTTATATTGTAGATTTTCTCTTCACGTGTCTTGTCTGGTTTTACTTCCTGTCTTTGTGTGTTTTCCTGCCTGTCTTGCTTGCTCCACCCTCGTGTTCCCCACTACACCTATGTTGTCAGCCAATCCCCATTTCCCTCCTTTTGCCCATGTCCACCTACTCCAGCTGTGTTTTGTTTGTGTGAGCAGTTTTTTCTGTGTATTTATTTCCCTGTGTGTTTCCCTTTGTTCCTGGTCAGTTCGCCTGTGTTCATCACCATGTTCATGGCGTTGTTCCCTGCTCTGTTTCCTACCTGGTTTTGGTTCTTCTTTGTTTTGGACTCTCAGTTACCTGCCTGTTTTAGATGTTTTTATATCAGCATCATTAAAACTGGCCTTTTGTTCCGAATCCACCTGCCGACTGCTTTGCATTTGGGTCCCTTCCTGAAGTGATACATGATACATTTATTCCTCAACTATTTTTGAAAGTTATTTGGGTGTTTGATTAAAAAGAACATGCGTGCAATGATACACTCATACCAAGATACTACAGGCTTCATAGCACTGTCATGATATTCCAACAAAATATAACAAAGAGTAGCCCAACTTCCTCCCAGCTGGCACCAGATGTCAACATGACATCGCAAAGACATTGGGCTCTTGTGTTGGATAGATAATCAATTTTGGTTGGAATGACAATTGGGTTGCTGATACTTTAAATGTTTAATGTTGTGTGGACGTTAATATTATGACATTATGCAGATGTTGGGTTTTGGTCTCCATACCTTACAACTAAATGTTACTTTTCTACTGTATGTCAAGAAGACGTTAGAATGAGATATTTGAAAGTGTCATATCAATGTCATCTATCATCAGTATTTGTTTTCTTGACATTGAATTTTTATAACCCGTTGGCACAACCTAAAATCAACCAATATCAATGTTGAACGTTGTTGATGGGCAGCTGGGTCCTATTTCCCACACACTGATCTGGTATCAATAGAGTACCAAGTGATGTCAGCCCCCTGATAACACCTAGACAGCAGCTGTAATCCCTGGCTTGTTCAAGGACTCCCATCATTGTTTTTTTTTTCTTTGTCTCATCTAATAGGAATGTTATTTTCCACATTCATGAGTTCGAGTTACAGAGCTGCAATTCTCTGGTGTAGCTGTTTGTTGATACGGGGTTCAGCACTGCAAAACCGTGTGTGCATTCATGTGCAACAGAGTGAATGATCATGTAGAGACATGAGGCATCTTCCTATCATTCACAGGTTCCCTCACGGTTGATCACACACACGCAGTCCTGGCACAGAGTGGTACGGTGTTCCAGCCTCTGATTTATTGTCCCATTACATGTTTGTTCTGCTGTATTTACAGACCATTCACCGATCAGATCTATCAGGAGAGGAACCACCGCCGCAAGCTTGAATAATCACCTCCCGCCCAGGCACTTCCTGCTCCTGGTTTGGCTGAGGATTCCCATCCTGTCACAAGGACAGACAGACTTAACAACAGACAGACTTTACCAACAGCGTTTATCATTAGTCCACATCCTGTGTGGATTCAGAAGCTACCTTCGCACTGCAGCTGCAAGAGTTTCATTTTTGATTTTGTTTTATGCTCTTCTAAAGAATGTGGATGCCACATGGAGGGTGGCAAGTCAAAGTAATAGTTTGATATTCTGAAAATCATTCTTATTTTGGTTCTTGCTGATATTTAGATGAGAAGATTGATACCACTGTCACGAGAGCTCCCACATGAAACTGTTCACAACAAGGTCAGCAGACCAGCCTGAGCAACCAGACCATGATCTCTGGAAAAACACTGCTGACTGTCTCTCTGTAAGAGAGTAATTGAGGGCATTTCCAAAGATGTGAAATTATTCCTTTAAAGCTGTACAATGTTGGATTTCCACTGTATGTACATTAGGAGTGTCATGATTCTCCAAAACCATAATTCAATTGTCCTTTTGATTTTAAGGTCACAATTAGATTCAGTTCTTTAAGATTAACATATCATTGGTTTCATGCCCTGACAACTGTCATTTACATCTTAAAATCCTTGAAAAAAAGGCTACATGGTGACATAACTGCTATATAGTTTTTGGGAATATACCATACTAAAGCAATACGGTCAAATTTCAATCATTTATTTAAAAGAAGAGTGTATAGGATTTAGGGTGAGGGTTACAGATAGCAACCAGCTGAAAGTACTTCCTGTTAGAATTAAGTGCTCATTATTCAGGAGGTTTTTACAGGGTACCGAATTTTCCACAAAGGTGTCTTCCTCTTCGAAACAAACAAACCCTGTAATTTAAACTGGTAATAACACTAAACAAAGCAGTTTCATATAAAAAACCTGGTGGCCAACACAAAAATGCATATTGACTTATCTAGAGCTAGCGTTTGGTTTTTGTCTGTTCTGGGCTACTGTAGCAACATGCCGGACTCCATGGACAAGGATACACTTCATATGTAAATATGAACAACTCATTCTAAGGTAAAATAACAACAATTCATATTTTCAGGTGATTATAAACCAAAGAAAACGTACTAATTGTGCCATTTTCAATTACTATCAATGTACCTACCTAAATCCTACACACTGGTCCTTTATGGTAAAGCTTCTAAATTCCTTGTTAAGATATTTAAAGTATCAAAAATAAAAACTACAAACTGTGAAACTTTTCCTCTTCTCACAGATGAGCCAATTCAAAAAGAATAGATTTCAGCCACTGAAAGCATCATGAATTGCGCATCACTTGCAACCTCTTTCTGCCCCATCTCAAGGTCCAATTCACCAATGATAATGCTAATGATAATGCCACAAAAAACACTCTATGATTAAACACTTAAGAAAACATACTAATTATATCATATCCTCCTGAGACCCAAACTTTTGTTTGCTATGCATTTTTAATTTCTCCTATCTATTTCAGTTAATTAATCAATGATCAATAGGACCTGATAAGTACAAAAAAAACTAAACATTGTCAACAATAATTAGTCCTAATGTCCTCAAATGAGACAACAATAAAGTCCTAATGTCTTCAAACAAGTACTTCGTAATTAACAGTGTCTTTGCTTGTTACTGTTGCTAAAATTGGTCAAATTTGTTGCCATGTCAAACTACAAACACTATTAATCATGAATAAACAAGTTTCAACCCAAAAATGTGATCAGGTTTTGGACCTTGTCCACTTTTGTGTCGGAATAGTATATTGTGCTCTTACTACCACTAAATGGCACAAGAAAGTGTCCACCAATGAGGACAACAGCTTTAAGTTGTCTAACAAAAAGAAGATTCACTGGATGGCAGAAGGGTACTTTAAGACATCAGCTTGAGTTTCGAGTTTCACTTTCACTAAACTGGCACAGCCCACAAACTGTAGTTTTTCTGTCAACAAAGCGTTCATTGTATACACAACTCATGGGGAAAGCAAAAATGTTGTAGACAAACTCCTGCACATCATCTAACTTGCAAAAATAAAACATTTATTACGACATTTTGGTAACTACACCTTCATCAGGCAAACCTGATGATAAGGTTGCCTGATAAAGGTCTAGTTACTGAAACGTTGCAATTAATTTATTGCTTTTGCAAGTTAGAAGGTGTGCAGGAGTTTGTCTACATGTTGTCCTGCTCATCCCTCTCCTATGCACCTGTTACGAAATAGATGTGCAAATTATTCTTTCGTTCGATGGGTTAATGCTGCCATACCGCCGACTTCAGGGAAACATGAGGATTTTCCAGTTCTAGTGTTTATTTGCCATCTCCAACTCTGGCAGTGGCCATGGTGTTTGGAAAAGTGCAGCTGCAGGCTACCAGTAGGCTACACTGTGTCGTCTCTGAAGTGTTGTTTTGTTTTTTCTTTAGATGCACGCAAGTAGACTGATGTGGAAAGAAAAATAACTGTGAGAAATCCCCATTCTGTTTGGGATTTAGATGACTAAAAGTGAAAGCTCATCACGATCAATTTTTGATTTAGAATCTAGCTATCTCAATCATGACACCTCTAATGTACAGTTTAAAAAAAACCACCCACCATCTGCAACAGAAGAAAGGAACTGAGCCACCTTAACCGAGGTACATAAAGCCTACTTTTCAAAATCATGTCAGGTATTGTCACTGGACACCATGCACAGCAGCAGCACCCTGCACCTGACACACCTGAATGGAATGAAGTCATAACTGATGTTAAACAGTACACCTGTGTTTGACAAGTCTACTGTGAAAATGTCCCATTACATTAAGGTCCTCTATAATGTTGGTAACGTTCCTTGTGTTATTTCTGTTTGTCTCAGCACTTTGACCAACATTCACTGCACTATTCAAAACTTTTGAAGATATTAGTTAAGTGTTAGCAAAGACTGAAAGCACGGGAAGCAGCTAGTATATTTTCCGTAGTTGTTTTTCCATAGTTCGTCACTGCCACAGGTTCTCAATTCATTTTTTCATACATTCTTATAAAAACCCTACATGATGACTGTGTGTAATGAAAATAATGCAAGTTTGATGGTTTAACTCTAAAGTGGCATCACCCTGGATTTACTGGTGTGCAGGAAATCCTTGATAGTATCCTACACAGCAGTACAAAGAGTGAAAGAGTTGAAGGCCTGGAAGACCACAGCTCATCTATTGTGTTCAGAGACACAACACAACCAACACAAAGCTAGATAGCCTTTTCATCACTGCCATCATTGTTGTAACTGTTATTCAATGTTGTACAATGTTTATAATGTGAATAATGTGCCCTTTTAAATGTCAGAGGAGCTATACCAGTAATGGCTTTATACTGTACCTATGCAAACCATTCTGAACTGAACAACACACACGACCCGGTGATGTACTCAGTGTTGATGGGATGTTTTTTATGTAATAAAAGACTAAGTCAGGGTCTCTCTTTGTGTCTCACAGCTACTAATGGATGCACTTAAGGCAGCACTTTTGCACATGTACCTCTTACAGGCAGATGGCGGAGAAAGCATTAAATGCATAATTATTCTCTGAATGAGTCAGGAATATTAGGACAGTGCTCTTTCTCTTTATGATTACAGCAAGCAGTGCTAATACAGCTCCTGTGAAAACTGATAGATTTGATTGGTTGGTAATTAAGTACCAGCACACTGTTTGGCGATTACATATCTACAGAATAGTCTGGATTCTTTCATTTAAGTCATTAACCAAAGAAAATGTGTTTGCTTTTTGCCTTTGATTTCAGGTCTACTGACATTTGATTGTACTATTGTGCCGAAATCATAGACTGTATGAAATTAGTAGACGTAGCCTCAATAACAAAACCCATTGGTTTATGGACTACCACTCGTGACCTTGAGTTCTGGATTTGGCCATTGCCGATTTTTCTTTTTTTTCTTTTTTTCTTTTTTTTTGAGCTAGAAGTGACCATATGCAATCGAGAGGGTGGAGCTATGGAGGAGCAAGGTATGGATCTGACTGAGAACCCGAGCAAACCACCATGGTAGCGACTTGTCAATCCTAAGATGAAATCGCCCTAAAGGCCCTGACACGCCAAGCCGACGGTCGGCCGTCGACCAAAGTCGGGCCATCAGTGAGCGTTTGTTGGCCTAGTTTTTGCAGTGTGTCCCGCACCGTCAGCACTTTGGCGTCTGCGTCTTTTCGGCCAATTGAGCATGTTGAATCGGCGGCGGAGCTTGTCTGTGAGAGAAATTACTCTGATTGGCTGTTCAGGTTTTATTTCCTCGTCCCTGTAGCGAGTGAATCTGCCTGTAGTGAAACCGGGGCTAACCGGCTCCACTTCACTCAGCTGCCCGACAGACCCGCTGCTTCTTCCCACTTTAACCTGAATAACAAACCGGAGCTAGCTGGGAGCGGCTAGTGGAGTGTTAGCCGCAGCATAATCTCTCAAGACAGATTCTGCAATTTACATTGTAGAATCTGTCGGCAGCCCTGTGTGAAAGATGACTACGGAGGGGGGGAGGGTGGGGCTTTGAGTTTGAACGATGCTGTGCTTTAGCCAATCACAATGGAGGGGGCATGGCCGAGATGTGCAGGTGTCCCCAGGAAATGTGTACCTACAGAAACAGCAAGCTCCGCGTCCATAGCGACTGCTCCACCCAAAACGCCATCAACGTCAACGTGAATTTTTTTTTTTTTTTCCAGCGGATGTCTGAGTTACAACATGATTGAGCTAACTGGAGTAGTTTCATGTCGTATCCGACAACAGGAGGCTTTTAACAGATGACGTCCTGATGTTAGCTTTGCTAACTGTCCCTGTCAGCTGCAGCCACTGATGCTTTCTAGACATCGTGATTTCCCATAACTGAATAAATACCACACATAGCAACACAAAACTGCTTTGCTAGCTCAATCATGTTGTAACTAAGATATCCACTGGAAAAAATATTTTATTCACAGACCGTTTATTGAGTTATTACCTTATTTTTATACAGTCTATGGTTATTACAGACAACGCTAACGGCTAACGTTAACAGCTAACGGTTAGCCCAGCTAATCTACGATAACCATGTTATTAATTACAAACAAAACGTGCACACAGAAATAGTAACGTTTGTTCATTCATTGTGTTTATAGACTTAACAAACATCAGATTAGTCTACACGGTGATATAGTGACGTGAAAAATGTGATATATAGCTAAACTCTGCTGGTTTTCTACCCGAAGTATTTGTAAACAACACGGCGATTCCCTGGGGGCACTGCAGGAAGTTAAGGGCATGAGCGATCGCCGAGCCCCCTACACTTCCGTTAGTCGAAAAACTCCGGGCTGTGCCTCCAGAGGTAAAGGAAGAAAATTTTTTATTTTTTTTTTGTTTTACCGATGGATTTCCAGATTGGCCGCAGCATGACTGGAGGGAAGCACAGCCAGTTAGCTTCCGCTAGTCTCTGAGCTAGCCCCGGCTCTCTGTTTGAATCCAACCGGAGCACCGAGCCCCGGTTTGTTATTGAGGTTAAAGTGGGAAGAAGCAGCAGGTTTATCGGGCTGCCGAGTGAAGTGGAGCCTGCGGAGGAAATACCGGGACCGTCTGGATGTAATAGTCCGTGGAGGTGCTGCAGTGCTCGGCTGCACAGATAGGAAACCCCTCGGCTGACAGGATGCACCACTCTCTCACTCCGCTCTCTCTCACGCAGGCGCAGAACGTATGTGCCACTTGGCCGTCGGATGTAGTCCATGTAGTGTGTTCAAATGCAACTGACACAGGGTGACGTGAGGCGACGTAGACGACGCAACAGTTGGCTTTCATCGCTGCTAGTTCTTTGATGTCGGTTTGGTGTGTCCGCACCTTAAAGCATAACCTGCACTATCATCTGTTTTACTCTAAACTTGGACTATAATTTATGAAATGAATATCATGTCTTATTAACGAAGACCTGAACTAACGTTTGAGACCTTAAACTTATTGGGCAAATGTTTACTCAAGTGAAAAGTAGCGTCATTTTCCCATAGATTTCTGTACAATCAAATGTGTCTTTGCAGCCGATGGAGTGGCCCCCTGCTGGCCATTAGAAAGAATGCAGGTTTAAGGTTTTGCATTCAACATGTCCTTATACTTTGGTTCATTTTATATCCTATGAATTAGCCCACCACGAATGATGTCACATATTTGCATAATAAATGTAGTTATCTAGGTCAGGTTTAGGCAAGTATACTGACATGTATTAGGTTTCCCCAGTCTCCTGGGGA